ATGTTTTAAAAGGACCTCTAAATATTTTTATAAGAATTTCCCACGGTCCATGCATCAGTTGTTCATGGTGAAGTTTAAGCCCAATCCATGCTTCTGCATCAAAGCTACGTCGTAGCCTACGCATAGACCTGTACCCTACGCAGAGCCCAACGGCGTACCCTGAAATGCACCTCCTCAAAAGATGTAACCGCAGGAGCTGTGATTGATCCACTTGGTAGCATCGCATCTGCAGCAGACTCAACGCCATTTTTAATTGAGTTAAAGGAATGACAACGGACGACTTCTTTCTTTTCTTCTTGGCAGTTCTTTAATAAAACCTAATTGCTCTCCAACATCTATCAGCTCCAACTCCAACACGATCTGCTTAGCAACACGCCATTGATCTGAAGTAGGACCAGAAACCAGAAGACACTCAACACCAGCATAGGTCTCCCGCCACTAGCGCTTTGGCTGCGTAATTTAACCAGCACGACTCAAGTTTTGAGTTTTGTGTGTACGTGTGTATGTGAAAAAGAGAAGGCGGTGGTAGTAGTATGCAGGAGAAAGTGGAAGAGGGCATTAAAAATTATTCGGAGAAAGTTCCGGTGCCAGACAATGGTCCAGCAGGATTTTGCATAATGTCCAGGAAATCCTTTACAGAAGAATAATGTAATTTACTGGGTTATTGTGGATCTGAGTAGGAAAAGTACGACAAGATGCACTAGTTTAACTGCAAATACACTGGTGGGGACTAATGGTGTAAAGTAAATTGTGACTTAAATGTTTCAGGATGGTCGGTAATGTTATGATCTGAATCTCTCAGGCAGACTATAGCAAATTATTTTCTCAGCCAAGGACACAAAATACAGAATATTATGTGTGTCCCTTGGAGTAAATTGACATAACCTGTTGCATTTGTGGTTTAACTTCCTGTCGTCCTCTAGTGTCCCTCTCGTGTGATTGTGTGTTGCAGTTATCTCTACCTCTCCTGCTGTATTTTGCCTCTGTGCTCTCACTTCTTTGTCTGTTTGTTCTTGTGCTTCTGATCTGATCTGAGTCCAGCTGTGGTCCAGCCTCATTCCTTTTGTCCTTTGACTTTTTGATTGACTGTTTTCCTCAATTCTTGTTGATCCCTAGTTTATTCAGATTCAATATTCTTCTTCACACCGACCATCCTTGCAGTTAGAGTTACACTAGATCACACATGCATACACAAAGATATATTCATATACACCGATATGTAAGTCAGGAGAGTTTTTTGTAGGACCTAAAACTGTGCCTGTGAATTTTAAAACCTTCCCTTATTTCATTATTCTAATAACTTATTTATTGTTTCTTCTTATGGTGAAACCCCAGAAGAAGAATTAGAGGACAGTAAGTTTATCCAGGTCTCTCTGAGTCTATACGGCTGTTAAAAAGAGTTTTACCTTAGCTGTAGTGATGCTTTTCAGGGATAGGTAAAAGTTATTAATTTGTTTGTGTATGATAATTAATGTATTCGGAACAGTAAGTGTGTTTAAAAAGGGAACTACACAGAATGCAAAATAACTACCACCACTGAGATCATGTTTAAATTATGCAAGAGGTTAGCAGAAATGTATTGAGTTAATAGATGATAGTTTTTATTTTCTCTCACCTGTTGCTGCTCCCATGTTTCCTCCTCCTGGCTTCTCTCCACAGACCAGCAGCAAGACTTGGTGAGTTTATAAAAACATCAAATTTTTCTTCACAGTACTATGCCTATAGATAATTAATGTCAGCCATCATGCCACCAAGCAGCTAATTTCGCTCAACAACAAGGTGCATCATCATCATCAGCGTGTGTAGGTTTGTTTTACATTGTCATATTTTACTATGGTTTTATTTTCTGTTTTTGGCAGAAATTGAGAGACGAGCTCCAATAAAATGTTTCTCTGGAATCAAGAGTGGAAAGTTTTGCGTCTCGTCTGTGAAAGGATTGTACTGAGGAAATGATTCAGAGAAGAAATCCTCTGTCAGTCAATGAGTTATAACTTTGTCTGGAAACTGTTGAAAGTCTGTGGTTGTTTGAAGTCTGTTGGATATTGTGTTTTAAAGAGACCTTTAAGTAAAATACACAAGAGCAGGTGCAGATGAAATTCAACAGTCCAACAGAGCAACAGACCATCGTTTAGTTTAGTCTGTATTCTTCTTTCTCTGCAACCTTCACCTTCTCATTCTATATCTGGAAACAGTTTTTTCTTAAGTGTGAAGCCCTGATGTTTGGTAGAACTTACAACTTTTGTTGTCCAGTGTAAAAATAGTCGAGTGTGATGAAAACAACATGTCACCAGGCAGCTGCTCTGGTGACATGTTGTTTTCATCCTTCTGCATGTTTTTAAGCTTTGATGGTTTTGCGTGTGTCTGGACTTCAAACTGTCGAGTGCACTGCTCCGTGCTTCATTTAAACCTCAATCATTGGGTGCTTCAGAAACCGCGTCTCGTTTTACCGACTGCCTGTGATTGGGGAACTTAAGTGACAAACTGAGGACATTGGCACTTGACCGTTAATGCGATTAGATACCAAATGGACCAGTCTGGAGCTCAACTGAGCAGAACCTGTCTGTTCGTTCACGGCAGCTGGAGGCTTCAGTTACCTGCAGCGGGGAAGAGCGAGGCCACCACAAAGAGATGTGGTCGGTGCTGATGTGGTTCTCCAGCTTCTTGTTTCATTTTTACTTTATTGTTCAAAAGGCTGTCTGGTCTCTTACCCCTATTAAATATTTTTGTTGTAGTACACACAGGATGAAACTATAACGAGACATATTTGTATTATTAGCTGCTAGAAGACGTGGCAGTGGTTGGTTCCTTTCACAACTAAATACAGAACTTTACTGCACACAGAACACAATGAAAGTATTCTAATTGCAACCTGATTTCCATCATGGCAACAACCTTCATAGAGGCACTTCCTCTTTGGCAAGTGTTCTTCAAACTAGAAGCACAACATTCCTTTTGTTGTTGCAATGCTTTGTGTCGAGCTGAATTACAGGGCTTTTATTTTGAAAAGTTGTGAAGTTTGGTCTGATGATTGTGTCGTTGCTTAACAGACAAAGCCGACATGCAATGTATGACAATAGTCAATCATTCAAACGTATATATTAACCACACACGTGAACAGTTCTGAAAAACCATTCACTATAAATCTTCACTGCAGATAAACCAGGTAGGATGAACACAAACTTCCCTCTGCATCATAGACTGCATATAAAACACTCAATAAAAAATGACAGTATATTGTAGACTCACTACTGATAAGGAATCATTCTAAAGCAGCTCCAGAGCAATAACACAGGCCAAGAGAACAAGTATGTTTACAACAGCCACTGCACTAGTAAATAAATGATGAAGCAAAACTGGTAACTTCAACATTTCACCTCTAAACCTGGCTTCACTCTGCTCGTCATCAGTTTTCTCCCAAGAGTCTTTATTCATATACCCAGTGCGTAAAAGCCCAAAGGACAGTTTGTATGCGATATATAGTGGTTATTCAGACACTCAGCGTTCCAGTCCTTATCTCCAACCACTTTCATCTGCCACATGAGGAATATATGAGGGAATATCAGTTCTGCATTTGTCGGAGGAAAACATCCACACTGGCCCGAAGCTCAGCCGCAACTCACTGAAGTAAACCACCCACTGTGCTGAGGTTAGTTTTTATATGTTGCACTTTACTGCTTGGCTGTTTTTGCTTGTTTTTTGTTTTTAAGTTGTGTTGTTTGGGATTTTTAATGATAAAATATTCATAACAACCAATTTTAATAATTAAATGCAAATAATATGTTAAAAAAGGAAGCAAGCATTACAACAAGTTAAAAGAAATTAACAGAACAGAGGGTTTTTTAGTTATTTCACTGGATTAGTCTATACTAGGCATTCCTATGTATTATATATGGAGTAAAACCAGTGGTGTAAAAATACTCACAAATCCATTGATACAACTCTTTTACAACAGCTAATATGTTTTGTAGGAATCCAAATCACATTTTCTGTTAATGTAATAGAGAGATTTAATTTTCATATTTGGCCAATCACATTTTCTTTGATTTTCAATGTATTAGAACAAATATTCTGCCAAGATGTTTGGTCAGATGATTTGATCTTACAGTCGGCTACAATGTCCACTTGTGACTCCAGCATTATCAAATGTTTTTTATGGTTATACAAGCAAAAAGATCATGGTCGGACAAGAAACAAAGTTGACAGTGACTTTAGACACTGAGTTCATTTTGTTTATTTCACCACAGAGTAACTGAAACAGTGGAGAAGAGTGAGGGTTGACTGATGGAGATCAATTTGTGCTGCTGAGCCCTGGATAAGTAACTTTTTATTAAGTGTCTCAGCTGAAGCTTATTGCAGCACCTCCGCTAGTTGAGCATCAGATAACCAACTTAGCAACTTGATTCACTTCTTTCAACACAGTGGAATAAACTGACACTGATAATATTGATATGTGTGTGTGTGTGTGTGTGTGTGTGTGTGTGTGTGTGTGTGTGCTTGTCCTTTGGGCCTTTTCCAGCACAAACAATGACCCTGTTAGGACCTCATGGGGACCAGGGCCTGCTCCCTGACCATTTTGAGCCTAAAACCTATGGAGTGAGGACATTTTTGGAAACTGAGGACATTTTTGGTCGGTCCTCACTTTTTCAAAGGTCTGTTTGAAAAATGTAAGAAATGTTGTAAAAATTAGGTTTAGGTTAGGGATTTAGTTTTGATGGTGTCATGACCCTGAGGTCGTATGAAATGCATCAGTGTATGTGCTTTAATCTGCTGTGCCTGTGTTGCGGATCTCTCGCTCTCTCTCCCTCTCTCTCCCTCTCTCTCTGCTGTGGTGCTGGTGTGTGATGTGTTGCAGGTGTGTTTGGCTCAATGACTGACTGAGTGAGTGATTGACTGTGAGTGTGTAGGTTTGTTTCCAGGGAGCTGATTGGTTCCAGCCTCCAAGCTTGCAGGTTAAGAGGACGGCTTCCCCCACCTCCTGCGGTCTCTCCTCTTGAGAGAATTGTACCTTGTGAAAGATCTGTTGCTTGATGTACCAGCCCGGTTAGGTAGGGGTGCGTAGCATTTTAGTTTAACCCTTGTTTTCTCTTGGATTTGGAGTTAGGTTAGTAACTTGTCATGTTGTTTCTTTAATTTGAGGAGGTAAGTTTAGGTTGTTGGCCTTAAGGTTGCCTGAAGCAAAAAAACTGAGTTTTAATAAACCTTCAAATAGGTTGAAATATTTTGTTGCTGGTGGTTCTTGGGAGCTGAGAAGAGGGGAGACTCATTCATCAGGCTGCGACTGGGTTTTCACCTGTGCTGGGTCGTACCGATGGTAAGGGGCTGGGGAATGTATTATGTTAACGAGTGTCCAAACATACGTGAGTGTTTGTGAGAGATGGAGAGAGAGACGGAGAGAGAACATTCAGAGGCTATCATCTGCATCACATGTGTCTTTGAAGTTACACTTCATCTGCTGGTGGAATGTTGATCCCTTTAGCCCTTGTTTCATAACTGTCTTGATTCTAATGTTGTCCTTTAATGAGGCTGATGGCCTCATTTGATAAGTCTCATTAACAGAGGTCTTTAGACATTCACGTATCGTAGGACCATTATGGCCATGCAGATGTTTGTTACTTCATCATAATTTATAAGCCCTCTGACTTCCTACAGTTATACAATATGTCAAAATGATATATATTGTCCAAAAAAAACTCAGAATCATATGTATTGAAGTATCTTGCGCTGACCACTTTCTGCAGCCTTAGCGATATCAACAAGAGTTATTTTGCACCCACCTCCCAATCACATGCATTTACACATGTATGAAAGTAAAGCATTAAAAAGCAAACATGAGATAAATGCCCCCTCTCCCACCATGCACCACTTTGATGCATGATGACATTCCTCTGCTGCTAATTGTCCTGCCTGAAACGCTGCGTGATGCCGTCCCACAGCCAGTCCCCTTTGTCTTCCGGGGAGTGGTCAAGTGAGCTGAAGGCATACACCAGAGGAAGGGGAGAGATGAGTATCTCAGCAGCTGTAGAAGAGGACACAGCTGGGGGAAGGGAGTGGAGATGACTGAGGGTTCCTGCTGAGAGCCTCCGGTGGGACTTTGTGTGAGACTTTAACTCCATCAGCTGGGACTCAGCGTGTCTGTCATGTCTCCCACCTCTTACTGTGATCGTTGTTTGTGTTATTGATCTTACGAGTGCAGAGGAGATGGAGCACAGGAAACCTTCCAACTGAGTCGAATTGGCCCTTGAAAGAGCTTCTGTGGTGGTAAGTTCATATTTACTTAAACTAACAGACCATTTCAAGTTATGTGTTTATTTATGTAATTCCAGCCATATCTGTAAAACATACAGTGGAACAAAGTTCTGTTTCTATGTTAGAAACAGTTAAAAGACAACCCAAAAACCAGCAGTTTAAAAAAATTTTTAAAGTTAAATCAAGTGCAGAAAGTAAAATGATTTATTATAATTTGTGAAAAAGACGAAACATTAAAGATTCAATGATATTTTAAGTTTTTCCATTTTGGAATCTAAATATTCAAAATTAAACATGAGTTTACATACGCGTGTCATATTTCCATTATTGACTCTTTTACATAAAAAAAAGTTTTTTTTAAATATTTGACAGTGGAGCTTTGTCAAGTTTAATATTAAGTTTCATTTTTTTGCTGTGTAATTTTAAATGTACTCTAGTTCAGAAGCAATAGGCATGGTTTCAATGATTCATTTCACATTCTTTCACCAGGTTTTTGTGGTAAAGAGCCTGAAAAAAATGTGAATTGAACTACAATTGGTAATAAACTTGGATATTTTGACACTCCAGGACACCAACACCCTAGAGTTTAGGCACAAACTGCTTGTTTCTGAATGAACCCCAGCTCCACATGTTCATGGGGGGGGGGGCATAAGAGCAAAATAGGTTTTGCTGCAGCAACATAACAGCAGCATTTATGTTTCCAGAGCAGATTTAATCATTGTTGAGATAACTGATATCAATACTTCATACACACCAGTCAGGCTAATGATGGAGCTTTTTTTGGCTGTGATGTTTCTGTTTGATTTGTTTATTCAACTGAGAGAAAAAACACTTTTTTTATACTTGTTAATGTCAGTGAAGAGCTGCATTCCTTCCTCATCCTGTTCTTGTTTTTATTATGTCCTGTGTAATTTATTATCTATGTACATGTGGGATTTTTTTTATTATTGTATACATTAATGCACAACAGCCTGTTCAAAACACATCAATTAATAGGCTTAAAAAGCATGAAAATGAAAAACCTATAAAGAAAACAGAGCCTCATTTACAGTCATCATGAACTACGACCATATAAAAATTCTCAAACTGTTTTCATTTTAAACAACCACATGTAGAATATAAATGTCCCACACCACAAACCTCATGAAAGGATGTTGCCTTGTAGAAGCCAATCTGCTTTACATCTGGAAAAAAAAGTTTTAATGTCTCTTTGGCAATAAAAATAAATAAAAAATAAAACCCCTGACAGTGACCAACTCTCCTCTCAGGAACTTCAGTACCCTCGCCTCATAATTATATTTATGTGGTTTCCCATTAGTTTGAACCATTTGACCATTTTAATGACGCAATTGTGAAATCGGCTGCAGATGCTAACAGGCACTTTGGCTAATAGCACTTTCAGAAGGTTTTCAGGGTCACAAGAGCTCTCTGAAGGATGTGATTATGGTACAGTTACCTTTTAGTGGATGGTTTCCTCTCACTTCATACATGTTTATGTTTTCTACTTTCCGAACAAGTAATAAAATACGACGAGTATAATTTAATTTTGAGATTTCGAGAATAATTTTGTAATATAACAAGAATAAGGTGGTAATTTTAAAGTACAAAAAAATATAATTATATAGCTCATAAGCAGCAATGAGAAACCATGCTCGCTGGACCTCCACTTCCTTTCGGAATCCAAAATCGTGATAATCAGTTGCAGAAAGAAACTACACAACCACTTTGAATATCCTGCAGATGTAACCAATGATAACTTCAAACATTTCTTCATCCGCAGAAGATTTTCTCTTTGAGTTTGATGTCTCTGTTGAGTAACAACCAAAGTCCTGTGGTGCTGATGTGACAAAAGTATTTAGTCATCTGTAAAACCTTTAAAGCACAGCTCCAAATCCAATTTCAGATGTAATATACATTTTGCATGTAAGTTACCTCATATTGTGTTTGTGCTAAGTGATTAAGTAACTGGTAGATTACATTAATTTTATATTTGTTTAATGTACTCAAAACAAAGCCGGAGCTACGACATCTAACATAGACTTGTATGAAGTCATATTGCATCATGGTCCTGTCTGAGGAGGGACTGAAGTGATGGAGCTAAACCTGAAGTGGAGTGTTTATATTTTTAGGGTCGTTAACCTCTGGAAAGTGTGTTGTTTCTCTCTGTTAAGATTTAAATTTAAAGTTGGGATTGACTAAAACAAAGACGGACACTTGTTCTTCTGAACTGTTTTTGTTTGATAGCAAAGTACCAGTGTGCCGTACATCAGGCGTGTAGAAGCGTTCAAGGCAGCATTGCACAGCTGCTTCTTTGCACATCACTGTGCATTGAGCCAAAAGCTAAATAATATAGATGTACTATGTTCTTGTTATAAGCCTTGTTTATGTTACGTGAAATCCTGCAGGGGCTTTTTATGACAGGATTTCTGGGTATTGTTTCAACATAAACTGAAGCCTTTCACTTTCAGTCATATTTGTTTCACTATACAAGCATTAGGATCTGGTAATGTGTTATATAAGCTGAATTCTGAGCATTACTCCATGTTCTTACGTCTTTGCTGCATTTGTTTATGTCCTTACAGTCATCTCATCTTGAAAACCATGATAACTAAAAGGAAATACCGCCTACACTACACTTACGTTATCGACCTGTTCTCTTTCCTGGATGAGTTGACTTTATATCCTGAGTTAAGTGCAGAGTATTTTTTAAATAGTGAGCACAGCATCACCATTATATCAGTACAGATCGCAGTATTCGATTTTAAAATCAATATGTGTTTTTTTTCAAGTCTCTCCATGAAACTAATGTTTTCAGCTTAAATCATGATCATTTATTTCCCAATTAGTTTTTCCTTCACCTAATTATTTACTTGGTGTAACCTGGTAGTTCCACTTTGCTCGAAGGCACTCTCATATCATTTGACTGTGAAAGGACAGGCCAACTGTGGACTACATCCCAGTCTAATTTTGCCACTGTTTGTTTCCGGTTAGTGTCTCCATCAGTACTGTTTTCATGAAGTAACTGCATTTCCTGCCAGGATGTGCCAGCTATCAAACTCTGTGTAATTTTGGTGTCTGTGTCACTCTCTGCATTGCTCTACTGTGTTTGTGTGAGTTTTACTCCATCTGAGCTGTTGCATTGACTTTATATAAGCTCCGATGTCCATCCTAAAAATGTAGTTACTCTACGTCAAGATGCTTTGGATTAAAGGATAGATTTTTGTAGGATATTTTGGTCTATTAGAACTTTGGTCCTAGTTTTGTAGTTTTTATCTATCTTATCAATAAGTGCATCCATAAGTATATAATTAAACATTCCATCGCTACAGTGCCAAAAAAGATGAGGTTTAGGCAAACAGCAAGAACAGTCAGAGGATCCGACATTTTTAACAGCACCAGATCAAAAGGAGAAGATGAAGGAAAGAGGAAAATTAATAACACAAACCATCACAGTTTACAGGCCAATGTCCTGCTTCAATTTCACTTTCTGTATAAAGAGGAATAATCAGTTCATTAAATCAAATCAAAATTACATTTGGGGGCTCTGACTTTAGGTTTTTGCTCCAATTAAAGTGGTTTGCAAACTCTGGCCAGACTGTTGGCTGATCTAAACCTTGTTTGATCATCTGACCAACCCGTGATTTTTACAGGGTTAGACTTTATTGCACAGATGTTTTCAGTCTCACGGAATACTTTAATGAATACAACACTATAATATTATCAAATACAAACATATAAAACAATAGATTTCAATAAACCACAAATAGCCTTAAAAGTCTTTAATACAGAGACTGTGATGGCTGACCTAATATAAACACTCGTTCCCTTCATTTTCCCCCATGTGCGTGCGAGGATAGATTTCAGCCCAGCCTCACATGACTCTAAATATATAAATGTGTAGAAGATGGATGAGTGAAGAGAGACCAGTTTTCATCATCTGTAGTTTTGCTAGTCTTAAAATTAAGAATTGGATAAACACTATTAAGCATCATATCCAAAGGAGCAAGAAAACACACAGCTTCATTTTTGGTATTTTTAACCAGCCCAACACTTAGCTGGCCAGTTTTTGTGCACATTTAGTTTGTATTGCATGCCTTACCTCATCTTATTGATGACTTACCTTCACTTTTCTTTTTACTTTTCAGGTTGAAGAGAGAAATGAAATCCCTCTGACCGGAACTGTCGTTACATCTTTGAATTATCTGAAATCAACGACCCTGCACCCGCTGGCCACCATGAACAGCTCAGTCCTGCCACTCACAAACAGCACCCCGCTCTGCTACACCAAGAACAGCCCTCCATTCACCTCCATTCAGCCCCCCATCGCCTCAGCCTACTACTCATCTATCTTCATGATCCTGGGTCTCACCTCTAATCTTGTCGCCTTTGTAGTTCTCCTGAAGTCCTTCCAGCGAACGCAGAGCCGCTCTCGCTCCTTCTTCCTGATCTTCCTTGGTGGACTGGTGGTCACTGACTTCATGGGTCTTCTGCTCACAGGCACCATTGTGGTTTCATTCCATGTTACTCACTTTAATTGGCGCCATTTAGACCCAAACTGCCATTTCTGCAACTTCATGGGTATGTCCATGGTGTTCTATGGACTGTGCCCGCTGCTGCTTAGTGCTTCCATGGCACTGGAGCGTTTCATTGGCATCAATTGGCCATTTGCACGCTCCTCTAGCGTGAGCAAGAGCCGGACAATCTCCATGGTGTTGATGGTTTGGTTTATCGCTGGCTGCATTGCGTTGCTGCCTCTAACAGGCGTTGGGGCCTACCACTTGCAGGTGCCAGGCTCCTGGTGTTTTTTGAATATCAGCTCTGAGGGAAATGACCTGATCTTCTCCCTGATCTTTTCATTTGTTGGTTTGATAAGCATCGCTGTGTCATTTTTGCTGAACACGATAAGCGTGGTGACCCTGATCAAGGTTTGCTGCGGACAGGACAGGAGCCAGCGGCGCCGAGATCACGAAGTGGAGATGATGGTTCAGCTCATCCTGATCATGGTCATCGCTTCTATCTGCTGGTGCCCCCTTCTGGTGAGTTTGCCAAAATGTAATACAACCTACACTTTAAAATACATGTATAAGTAAATATATAAATGTCAAGAAATTGTACAAAAGTTTCCAAACACCAAGCTGCCAACCTTTAGAATTTATACAGACATAAAAAAAATACAGAAAAAAAATACATATGCATACATTCAGCTATAGGATTTGACATAGAATTCAACATTCAACACCATTAAGCAATTATATAATCCTGTAAAAAAATAATCGATTTCTGTGAAATATCGTTTTTATAGTGTATGTACTGTATGTGCATATGTTTTCACTTGTTTAATGCAAAATGATAAAAATAAACTGAAAACTCAATTCCTGTTCAAACAATATACTGTGAGAGTAAGAGTAGCATAAAATCTTGTAAATGTGTAAATGCTTGATTCTTTTATTTCATATAAATGTGAACAACTATACTCTAAAAATATTTCCAATCATGGTATATCTCAGAGGCATCTGACCCTGACCCTGTCCGTCCAGCTCCTGTTGTGCTCTGCCAATCAAATATTTGAACTGTAATGAAGCATCACAAGGTCTTAAGCTGCTTTTCTCCATTTCCCCTGCTCGTCCTTTGTTTCTTCTGAGCAATTCAGCTTCCTGACTATGTGATCTGGAAGGTTAGCTGATCTAAGCCTGGATCACTTTTCTTGTGATGACACCTGACTTTACTTAAGGAGCATGGGTGAAACAGCACCTTTAAAGGAAAACTACACTTCTTTAAAAGTTGTAGCTTTCATTCCTCAAGCCTTTGGGTCTGCGGTCAACTGACACAGAGGCAAACATAAACATGTCCAAAAGGGCAACAAACACCAGCTTAGCCCGAAGACGTCATATTAGGACACATCTCCACTTCCTCCCAGTAACCAACAGAGAAGCCAAAATATCCCAAATACAAACGCTACCATCTTGACGTCCAACCAATACATGTGCTCAACCAATCAGGTGTTAGTCTCAGCTGTCAATCACAACAAAATGAAGGTAAATGGTAGAATTGAAAACCAACAGCTCATTATAAACATTCTCGTCAGCCTAACTTTTTGATCTGCAGGTTTATTTATTATTCTACCTCCTGTCTAACCTCAGTTATGTGACACCTTGCACAGATATTTATTCTGATGAGCGTCGTGACTGCCGCGCCTGTAAGAGATGAAATTGTTTTGTTCTACATACGAATGGCCACCTGCAATCAGATATTTGACCCCTGGATTTACATCATATTTCAAGTGTCCTGTCTGAGGCGAGTAAAAAGTAAATCAAAAACGCTGAATAAAGTTTTAACAATGACACAGCTCGCTGTTAGCAGCTGCTCTCCCCCATCATCACTCACAATCAGCCTAACACAGGGCTGTGGTTGGCTCAGCATGTTCCAAACATCTGCCCATGAAACTTTCTGATTTACCAATTCAGTTTCTAATTCATCACCCATAAAGGTACAGTGTGTAGAATTTAGTGTCAGCTAGTGGTGAATTGTCATGTTGCAGCTGAACACCCCTCACCCTCCCCTTTCAAACATGAGAAAGAACCTATGCTAGCTTCAGTTTCATAAAAACTCAAAAGGTCTTAGTTTGTTCAGTCTAAACTAATGTTAAAAACATGGCTGCCTCCTTAGAGAGGACCCCCCCTCCATGTAAATATAAAGTATTTAAATATAAAGGGTCTTTTCTGGGGTAAAGAAAACTACAATTCATACAATTTAGATGAAACGAACTAGTGAAAACATCATGAGAATTATTCTATGTTGAATTTCTGCAAATGGTTTCCTTTCACCTAAATCTTGCACACTGGACCTTTAAATCCCTACTTTCATTTCACTGAAATAGTTTCTGATGTGAATTTACTGTCATGACTATGTTTACATGGACGGCAATATACAGACGATTGAGCTCATTCAGATGAACACATTATTGTGGTTATGATGTTTACATAAATTGCTGAATAATCCATTCATGTTGCAGAGCATAGCCCAAATATTGAGTCCGTTATGCGAATACATCTGACGTCATTCTGCCAGTTTTAAAACTCCAACTTATTATGTGAATAAGACATATGCATGTCTACACAAGGTGACTAAGGTCTGAACACTGCACATGTCTTTATTCAAGTATTGCTTATTCAGAGGCCTGACCTTATTTGGATTAAGGTAATCAGAAAGTGTTGTTTACATGGCAGACTGTCACTCAGTGTTTTGGCGTAATCGCAGGAATATTGGAATATTGGTGTCCATGTAGCATAAACGGTGGTCTGGCTTTTATTCAACTAAACTCCTGATAGATTAACAATCTCAGCCTGTAGTTTAATGTAGTTACTCAAACATTTTTTCAGAGCAGAGCTGCTCCTGATAAATGTCATCTAGCCACAGTCAGTTAACTGCAATCAGGCCAAGTTGATGCTCAAAGCTTGAAATAGCCTTGATGCCACAAAGCAAAACCACAAATGTTGTCAATTTCTATCTGGGAAATTAGCTACAACACAAACCGTGTAAAACTGTGCAGCCCCTGGAGCACGTCTGCTTCTGAGAAAAGCTTGTTTAACTAAACCTGTGACTTAGCATCTCAACAGCTGCATGTGTTAACACTGCGTAGTTGTTTATTTTACCTTGCACTGCTTGGAGGTAATGCATAGAGAAGTTAGAGTGCCATCTGAATTTGGAATTAGCAGTAACTCAATTTGTGTTTCCTAAAGGAGCTTGTGATCATGTTATAGACTCACATGAGACTCTTGGGTCTTAACATGTGTCTGTATGCATTTGAAATATTAACCAATTTCATTTTTTGTGTTCTTCCTCATTTCACATCTTTTCAACTCTTTTTGTTGTAATTTGCTTCTATTCTTTCCCGCAACTGCTTGCATTCCTCTCATCTTCTGTTTCTCCACCTCTCCTTTCCTGCCCTCTTGTCTTATCTCCCTATCAATCTTTCAGATCTTTATTGCAGAGACTGTGCTGTCCGGAGCGCAGCTCCAGGTCAAATACCTACTGCTGTGGCTGCGCTTCGCCACCGGAAACCAGATCCTGGATCCCTGGGTTTACATCCTGTTTCGCAGGGCGGTTCTCAAGAGAATCTACCCCCGCTTCGACTGGTCCAGAGGCTCCATCATGACCTTGTACCCATCTCTCAGAGACACTGTGCGCAGGTTGACACGTTCTTCAATCGGGAGCACTGTGGGATCGAATGAAACAGGAGAGACGGGAAAATTGAATGTGACGCCCCCATCTACCTTGAACCCACCACCATCTCTTTGATTGGTTGGATTTTGAATTGTTGTTGCAGCAGAATGTTGGAAATCATGTAGATAACACCCATTATCTGAAAGGATTATGTTATCTCATACCATTCACATTTATTTTAGTATTAACAGTAACACCTTAATTCACAGTATAATGATCAAACCTGTATCGATAAATCAATATCACCACTTAACACTGAAGTTAGCTAAGGAACTTTTTAAGCAATCTACATGCATTAGCCTTTTCAGGTACAGAGCCTGAAAATATTTGTATGATGTTTGAGTTTAAAACATTTTATTGAGGCAATCTGTGTTGATTGTTTTGATGAACACATGTACACGATAGACCGTAACTGTGTTTCATGCTCATGCTCAATGCTCACGTCTTTTTTGAAAGTGTTTAAATTAACATTTTGGGGGGAAACCCTTAAATTTTCAATATTGTGTTGGAACAGGTGATCCAGAGACCATCAAACCTAAAACAGACTTCTGCTGATCTCATAGAGGTGCTTCAAAGTGAAAATGTTTTCATCAGAGTGTACAAAGTATGTCCCAATGTTTGCCTGGGGCCTTGTGCATGATTTTCATTTTCCTTTGATCTAGAAAATGTAATCTACTATATGTGTTTTATTCACAATGGAATTACTGTAGAATCAGGTGTAATAGGGTTAAAAATACTAAAAAAAAACCTGGGCATGATCTGTTGCTAATTTTTCCAGATATACAAAAAACTGCCATGTCTGCTTGTCTGTCATACACCAAATGGACGTATACAAGTTTGCCTGAAAAAAGAAAAATGAGACCATTAAAATACAGTGTTATAATGTCAATAAATGAAAATGCAATAGTATTTCAAATAACATATTTACTGTGAAATGTGATCATAGCTATATTCTGGTTTTAATATTGTTGCTGATAGCGTACAACACTGTATGTTGACTGTATGTT